ATAAAGTTAACAGAAAATCCGAATAGCCCATTGCTGATTTTACCCAGCCTTGGACCCATAAGGTAAATGTAGATTTCGAATAGAAACTAAAACTGATGTCGCTAATCGACATGCTCCATTCGGTCAAACGCTTTCCTTTGAAGCTCACGAACCTTCAGGAACCCGTTCACCTCGCCTGTTCCAGACATAGACGAGGGATTGTGAGGTGTAACGAATTAAAACTCGTACAATTTTCCTCAGGATAACCGTACTAATAATTTATCTTTATTCACAATACCTATAATATGTGAGTCAATGTAGACCCACGCTCACTGGATAGTACTCTCTACCAAGATTGCCCACGAAGATACTCACGCTGGAAGTAATCCCAAAGGAAATGAATATATTTAGACACCTTGAAAAGCTTTCATTTTGAAATATCCGATTTTTTCCTTTAAAACCCAACAAACTGAGATGGCACGCTGCAAGAATTTTGATCTAGACACACTCACGGCTTGATGGTGACCATAACTCATGGACCGCCAACGTAAGCACAACCTTCAAGCCTCTTGAGTGAAGTTTCCGGCGCATGCGTTCATTCCATACAATTACACTGATGGCGGAATTCCGAGTTCCATAAGATACACAAAGTTACAATTCACTAGCACAGTCTGCATCGGCTATCAAACAAATCAGTCAACTCGATTACCATACGTCTTTGTCCTTCAAAGGGCTTATTCAACTGCAATATAACGGCGATTTTGCTACGATGACATCAAAGATGAGTGGCAGAAACGGTGCTTACAAAACAATCCCGCATGGTTCAATATATAACTGGAGTCCGTCAACAAGGTCCACAGGTCACCCCAATTTTCAGGGTTTTATTTAGGGCTACAAGAGAACTTTCAGTTTAGCTCGACAGGGGTGCCTGCTGTAAAGCTACCTCTGGGTTCGTAAGGATTATTCAAACAAAAACGGCAATAAGTTTGGAGAATATTAAACCTCTCCAAGTGAAACCCGCGGATGGGCATGCCTTGATTTATTGGCCCTGTATGCCACTAGTTTACCCACATTTGTCGGCGTATTAAATTAATAAACAGAATCAGCGTGGCTACATACTCTCTCAAAAAGTCAAATACGGTTGTTAATTACCCGATGTCTCATTTGCGAATTACCACTGGGCGACCCTCAGGAATATTGATGAACCAAGACTTAATATGCTATGCTCAGGCCAGAGAAAAATTCCAGTATTTTAATGAGGAACAAGAAAATGAAGTCAGCATTTCTAAATATACCATCAATTTTCGCTTAACATGGCTAATAAAAAAACCCCACGGAACGTCGTATATCGAGTCATAGTCATATCAGGGACTGAAACATTCAAAACCATCATGGATTACCAAAAGGGCTCACGTGCTTAGTGGCTAGTCAGCTGTTATCAAGCAAATCCACCTTGAATGCCAGCTATTGATAAGCACATATACATAACAGATGGACGTTACTTTTTCGATGAAACCTAGCTTTGTAGTTGCAGTGGCTCTACGGACTAGACTTTCCGCAGCTTTGGTCCTCAGTAGCTCTCCATCTCAGAATGGTTATTGGGCAGCGGCGAGGCCAACGGCGCACTGACTACTTCCCTACGATTGGTCCCAAGACGTTTGTGTGCGAACTGTCAAGCTCGTAGAACAGATTAACAGCAACAACATCTACAACCCAAACTATCATTACTTCGACATATTCCCGTAAACGTTAGCCTGCACAAGAGTGCACTGTGATTCCAGATATGGCGCACTGACACACCGCCACCTATACGGTCATCTTTTACATCGGACAAACCAATGGTCTGTCAGTGATTTCGTATATTTGAAGTCGAAATTTTAGAAACCAGACATATCATTTTCGCAGTATTTTGTGTCGCTTATATATCAAAACAAATGCTCCAAAACCATGTTCAGGGTGTGGGAGCGGAGGTTAGACACCAGACACTAGACTCTACTCGTTACTCTCACGCCTGATCAAAAATATACAGCTTTATGCTGGTAACTGTGCGTTTTATAGGAGCAAGTGGTTGATTAAGAATCATATACGTCAACCACCGATAAACCCACAATGAGCCACAAAGTAATCATCAGTGGAACGTCATAAATACCTTTTGTATTTGGCATTTGCTTGAACCTGAAACCATACTACTAGGTAGCATTAGTACATATCTGCGGTGGAAATTATTCCTACGCATGTGAGACGCTAACCTGCTTCCCCAAAAATAGATCGCCACGGGGAGAACTGCATGGTTTCACTGAAACCAAGGGAAACAGAACACAGTTTGCCACCATGTCAAGATCGCCTGGTAGCATCTTTGCCTGGTAATCTTATCCCGTCTGATTGACACTGGCATTGGCAAACCTCTCATAAAAACACTTAGTTCCTACCTAACGAGTGCAGTCATTTGTTTGTTCAACCACATTTGATCGTCGGACATTTTGAAATACAAGCCAAATTTATATATGCGCACGTAAGTATACATGTATAACCATGTATTTTTCCTGCTCACTGCACAGGTGTTTGGGCTGTAATTCCCGGGTAAACAAGTCTAAAAAAAGTAGTCATTTAGGAAGATCTAATGAATGATCTCAAAGTATATGAAGAAGTAACAAAACAAGAAGTTAAATAACGGTAGCACAGGTCTCTGTCAACAAATAGAATCTGGGCAGTGACTGAACAAACGAGGCTTCCGTACCTCAAAGGCTATAAAGCCAGTGATGGTCAGACATAGAACCTAAATTTGCCGCGAACCAAAATTATCAAAAATAGATTTTTACTATCTTTATACTACAATAAATACCTAACGCTCAGCAAAAAATGAGATCATTGTAAGGGATAACATAAAAAAAACAGAAAATTTTTTTTTCGGGATTTTCGAGCATTGTCATATCCCTAAAGACAAATGAGAATATTGTGTAGTAAGTGTATCCAATCAGGTTTCCTCAAACAGCGCATAATTCATCGTTCAAAACTTGAGTTGATGGTTTGGTAAAAACAAAAATTGCTGATCTACTAATAGCGCCATCGAGAAACCACAAAACGACTGTAAAGCGTCGTCATATGCGACTCGGATCTCAAACCGTAGAGAAATTTTCGCTTGAGAGTCAGGTAAAGGATTGAAAGAATGTTCACGAACTGAACTCAGTGACCTTCGAATAAGGTTAATTTATCCAGAAATACAGCAGGAAGAGTTTATAAACCTGCTACTGGCAGTCATTTACTAACTTTGTCGAACCGATCATATAATTTTCGTTGGTAATCCCAAAACAGCTTTCAATGGCAATGACCATAATTTACGGCGATGCAAAGTTCAGTTAAGTCTCAGGACGCCTTCGACACTTGGAAGCGAGTACAGTTAACCAGCTTCAGTAACAGACACCGGTATCATAAAAAATCACAAAACTACTCTAAACTGTTGTGCGCCGACAGAAATGCCGATGAATGTAATAAGTCTGATGGGTTCAGACAATGAACAACAAATCAAAAGATATGAGTGACAAACTTAAACAAGTGCATCACTATCAGCTGTGTGAATCAGCTTATCCCAGACCTTGTTTGGATAGGAAGCCAAAGTTCGCAGTCAACCTAGGGTTCTCATCTAGCTTGGGGCAATAATTACAGTAAGTGTCTTATTACGTTTGCCCCCATGAATACAAACTTAGGGCTCAAAGCCTGGTTGGAATAGGTCAAAGACCATTTGGTGTAGGTGAGAGAAATGTAACATCTAGAAATATACAGAAGGGAAGAAGTAGAGTTGCAATCATATCAGGGTAATGTTAATGAATGGATGACCATCCTGTGTCGGATATATATGTTGTACTGCAGGCGAATACCGCCAAGTTTATTAATGACTGATTCAAACCACGTATTTAGATTACTGCCTGAAGTTAGCTATAACAGCTGTTGTGACACTATAGTAAGTAACCTCTTATGTCTGAGTGTCAGTGTTTTTATCGTAAACTGAAAAGCTAACATGGGAAGTCAGATCGGGTGTCAGAATGCCCATAAGGAGAACAAAAATTGAAACATAACATTCTCTGTCTCATATTTATGGAATGAAAACCTGTAACCGTTTCAGAAAACCTCGAGAGCAACACAGCGTTACCATTATTCAGGAAGAGGCATTGCTTCTAACAAAAACAGACGTAAGTGTTCCTCAATACGGTCAGAGGTAATATTTTAATGAAACGTGGTGTGGATACCAGAGACGAAGGAAAACCATCCATGTTTTATAGTGTAGATGTATATCCCCAATACATGTAATATTTATCGGACCAATTCACCCACGCAACGACAACTATACGCAGTTGAGCGTGGTATCCGGATTTCAGCTGTTCCTGCAGCAACATACTTATCACTTAATTGAAAACTCATGGTTGGGTAGCCATGAAATATGCGGAATTTTCAACGTAATTTAAGTCTTCCGGAGCAGACGGAATTCCGTTCATGCAGACAAAATTTTGTGCTCGGTTGTTAATCTTATAGTAGCGTGATTTGCAAGCAGACACACTATAACTATGAACGCTTAAATGACTCTAACAGTAACGTTTTTATTTCGACATTCAGACCTATTGGCTTCAGTTAGGATGTGCTAATCTACAGAAAAAGAGGCATCCACGTTGACTGAACTTTGTCGTCCCCGTTCTATAGTAAAACACGGACTCACAATGGAGTCAGGACTTGTCGTCAGAAAGTTTCTTCCTTAAGAAAACGCCCAAAAACATATGCATCGGCAAGATACTAACTCTATTCTGTTGCCACTTGTGCGTAAATGAATTAGTCGACAAACGGAGTGAAACTTACAACTTGATGATTCCGAGCTTAACGGAAACTCTGCAATGTTACCTACGCTAGAAATAGTCCTTGTGTTAAGCTCAAGCAAAATACTACTTATTCCGTGTGAAATCGACAAATGTAGATTGTATTCTCACAGATCAAAACATAAAAACATTGCTTTCGTAGTCTCAGACACCGCTCACTTTCGCCACACGTTCGCCATCCCGTTTGCTCACCGCGCGTTCTCGAAGTTCGTCGGCTTTGTTGCCAGCCAGCAGTAGCAATGTTTTTGAATCCGCATTAGCGGTGATCTCGTCCATCCATGACTGAAACAAACCGTGATGTAAATTCAAAATATAGATGAAAATGCTTGCTTAATCATCCTCAATTCGGGGATTAAGACTCGTTAGAAAGCTTGAATAAAAATTAAGATTTGATGAAGTTTGATAGCAACATCAGAACTGTTTGATAATTCGCTTTGTTGGTTCAGAAATCTTAAATATTGTTCCTCAGATTAGCAAATACTTGCAAATAATTGGCATGGAGTATTAATTAAGATTATAGTTAATATCTACAAAATAAATGAGGCACCTTTACGGTTTACATAAACGTTCTAGTAAAAACCTATTTGATTAATAACCTGGTCTCGAGTGACTCAAAGAAATTTACTCACCCTTCTTTTGAGAGGACTTTTAAACTACACCACTACAACAACGGAATCTGCAGAACATATTATATAACGATTATTATCAAAATTTAGAAACTTATGCACAATGAAACTAAGGTTTCAGTAAAACTAATTCACTTGCTAGAAATCAATAATCGGTGTGGTTATCGCTGAATTTACAAATTATGTGATTTCAGGATAAACCACATTTTATGCTCTCATGAACATTAATTATCTCAACTTTGTAGGTCTTTGCATTGTTATGGGTGGTATTTTCTCCTATTGTACTAATATCATAAAGTCAAATGAAATGGTTTGTTAATTGCTTGTACGCAAATCCTCGACTTCACAATTTGCCCCAACTTATCTAAGTTCGATGATGCTGCTTGTAAGGGAAAGCTGGTATATGAAAATACTCGTGGTAGAGAGTCTTGATGCTTGAAGCCCAAAAGCCCAGATGAACTGTTCATCAAAAGTCATAGTTCACTTATAAATGCAACCACTTGACTATTTCAACCGTTCATCACGCTAAAACATAAAGTCAAACGTTGCATTTCGTAGTAGATAGGCAAGTTCAGTTGACGTTTAATTATCCCTTACCGAGGTAATAAAATGAAAATATTCAATCTACACGAGACATTTGAATTAAAACCTTCCTTTTATTTTATGGCCATTAGAAGTTAGACGGAGAAGCACAGGCGAAAAACAAAACTCTTTCCAAAAAAGTGATAGAAAAGTTTGCGTCATCTAGGAGGCTAGAATATTTTCGCGAAAGAATTGTCCGTTTACCTGGTCATAGACAAGGACGCTATACAAGTTGGCTGGGCGTTCAACGCATTAATAAAGTATTCGAATCGAAAATGTAGGAAATTAGTCACGCCAAGTACTGTCCAATCCAGGTATTTGGAAGTTTTAGCATTTGGTTCAAGCGTCAGCTTTCTGACAATTCCCATGGGGAATGAGCGTCCTGAACAGAGAGAAAATATTAATTAATCACTCCATATCTACCCCTTTGTCAGTAACAGGGAGCTGTGTTAGCCAGATATCTCACCGCGCTGATAGGCGTAGATTCTTAAGCCTGTGGTATTGAGCAATCAATTTTATACCGTTTTCAGTCAGATATTATTTTGATCGGGATGCCATTCAGGCAATCTTTTGGTTAAATTAGTGATAAGGATATCTCTGATGACCATTGAAAAGTGAGGTGACAAAAGTTGGTTTGACTAAAAGGGATGATCAAAAGATGTCTATGCCCGTCATGAAGGATTTCCATTTGGCGGATGTACACATAGCGTTTAAAAAACCTATCTAACATCACAAATAAAAACATGATTTATTTTGTCCATCGTTGCAAATCCCTACAGTGTGGTTGAGCAAATATACATATCATGAGACCTAATCTAAATGGACGCAGTCACTTAGAGTCAACCATAACCCCCTGCCCCAAGGGGTTCCTCGGAGCACAACAGTTGAAAGCAGTGGTTTGGGTAAAACCTCAATAAACGAGTATCTTTATAAGGTACAGATTTACGGCTCGAAAGGATAATATACGAGATCTTAGTAGTTTAAACTCAGACGTAACTAGCCTCCAGACGAATATTTGTTTTTCTTATGAAGGACTCATCGGTAGGCCAAGGTGAAATTATTTTTTTTCGATGAGAGAATGAAGATTGACTCAACCCGATTGCAAGTGCGCACGTTGTTTCCAGTGCACGCTTGCTGGTGACCATTGAAGGATCAGACAGTATTTAATAAATCACTCTCAGCAGTTTGGCTACAATGACGTGATGGTTCGTATTGGGCAGGTGGTTTCAAACGCATTACTCGCATGTTTAGCTTCTCCGGTTTGCAAGCGCGGACGCTGTGCACAAGCACGCACTCGACATAAAAAACAGGTGTAGTGGTGGCGTCAAACACCACTCTGTAATCAAGGCACGTGAAGTCGGCATTAACCATAAATGGCTACATGCCCACAAATGAGAGGAACCCCGCGTAAACTCTGAATATGGATTATTTGCTGTCTAATTTCTCCTTGGATAGCAAGTATTCTGTCACAAATTTAGTTGGTTCCCTTAGTGCCATCAAGATATCACCTCGAATGACGACATATGGCCTATTCAAAAAACCTATCAGACGGAAGAATAGGTTACATATGTTAGAATATTTCATAATTTAAACGGCACACATAGTGGGCTGAGCATTTGCTGTTCATTCTCAGCCAAATCTGCTTCGACCTCGTTCCATTTATTAATAAGGAAATGACAGGTACATGCCTGGAAATTGTGCTCATCAGAGAATGATGGATTTGTTGAACTAATGCTGATAAAAACAAGACAGAAACTCGGATCCAACCATCCATCCGTGACTTGACTAAAATATCCGAAAGAAATGATAGCATTTGCGTACTGTAGTTTGCAAGAAGAAGCATGAACATATGAAAGAAGAAAGCCTCAGTAGCCACATTTTCTCACGGCTAGCTGAGCGAAATTGAGTTTTGCGGCGTCACAGTTGACCCAAAGTATGTAGATTTACCCGGTATATTTTTCTGGAACTACGATTATACTAAAAGGAGAAATGAAACGTTAAAAATGGGTTGTTCTTTCATTCTGCCGATGAATAAAATTCCGGTAGATTTCTTGGTAAGAAGACCACAATTGGATAAACTTTTGACACTCCCGCAAAATAACGTCCACTCTAAGCTTCCTGGCACTGAAAGTGGCAATCTGGGGCATCTTCAGATTATCTGACTATTCATTATAGCAGATTACCTTTCCGATTTTTATGAGTAGCCCCACAGAGGTGCAAACTGTGCCATGGTTAATATGACATACATGAAATTTGCTGAAGGATAGAGGGTGAAATTTATGCAAAAATATCTAACGAAGTGCATTGTTTGTCAACCACACCACTGGTGAATCAGTCACCTTTTATGAAAATGGTGTTTGAAAGAAAGTTAAAAGGCAATATGCTCAAGCACCCATGAAAATCTTTAGATTTTCACATTTTATGATTTCCAGCAATGGAAAACCGTCTCTTTGCGTCGAAATTCAAAAACTTAGGGTCCGTTGGTTAGAGTAATCCGAAGGGATCTGGTACCACCAATGTCGTTTTAGAAGTATTATCTAAATATTGATAACGGTTACAATGAGAGATTCAAAATATTCTCATCTGCAATTTGGTTCCCTTGCTCATGGAATATAGACGGACGTCAGTTTTAATTGTTCTATCTAAACGTTTATGGCTGGTGCATCTACAAACGACAATAAAATCATCACTCACCTTTGTATGTACAAGTGTTTCCATTCGACTGATGTCATATACTAGAACGACCGCTGGAAACAGCAGATAATGCGGATGCAAATGACACAACCAACCATCGGAATCCCGATAGTAAGATTTTGTTAAGCTCCGGAATTTCTCCTGGCCCGCTGTATCCCATATTTTCAGCCTCACGGGAATGCCGTTTGCGTTCACCACTTTTGCCTGTGAGAACAAGTAAAATACGGAAAGTTTTTCTGCCCACTTTATAGTCGATGCCGACGGTCGAAATGTAGGTTCCTTTGAGAAATATCCTATCCTTGAATCGGATCAATAGGGACGTTTTGCCGACGCATGAATCTCCGACAAGCAGCACCTAATAGAATAGGCAGTGAAGATGGGATGATGAAATTGAGTTCTTAAAAGAAAAAAATCAATCACGGGAAAATGCCCGGCAGGCTCGACGAAAAAGCAATGCAGTAAAACGTAGAATAATATGGCATTATAGGATATGATATTATTGTTACATATCATGAGGTGACATAATATATCGTATTATAATGCAGTGTGTAATATAACTCGGTGACATTTTTTATGGGAATCTTTCCCTGCAGAGGCTGTTTAACGTTGCCCTGCAAACTTATCAGATTCATAACTGATGGGGCGTCTCATGGCCAGAAGAAACTAAAACTGGACTTCGCCCTCTAGACAGGATTCAGTCGGTCTTGTCAGTGACCACGTAAGAACGGCTTCACTGTATTTCAAGTAGAGGGCACCCAAACCTGTATGCACACCAAGTGATAAGCGTACATACACAAAAGGACACAAATACGTGGACGCCAGGTTTCATTGTCGACTAACTTTTGTTCGACAGTGACAGGATTCTGAGATACAATTTGTTGCAGGTTGCCCAGCGAATTAAAGTGAAACGATTTAGAGGAGATTACACGAAACAGCGAAACCTCCAAAGCAAGCCATAGAGTAGCAGTGGATAAGCAAATATGAATGTGTTATCTTTAGCACACAGAAACTGGCTTTTGTTTTGCGAATGCGATTAGAGCAGTTTGACTTTTCTGCGGTATGTTGGTTTTAATCGATCCGTTGGGGTACAAGTCGGATCTAAGACCCATACGCTGCAATCTGTTCATTCGTGCTATACTCTGGTTTCAACTATTTGTTCTTTTTGAAAACATATTTGCTCCGTTTATGACTATTTAATTTCTGCCTTCATCACAGACGTTTTACTGAAATCTTTGTCTCTGGCTCGTTTTCTTACACCATTACATACGTTTGAAAGTGAATTTCAAACCAATCGTCTCATTTCCCGATAAATCAATCAATCAGTTGTTCTGGGAGACCGAACAAAGATTGAGACTCCCTGATGTCGAAGGGACAAACTTGCAGTGAGTTCGAAAAAACTCGACTGACACATACCATCTCGGAAAATAGCCTCCATGTTGTACAAATGCCTTCTAATTCACTATTTTTATCGAAAGGTGCTTCCGCCATAGTAATTCAAGTCGTTCCAACCACAGCTGGCTTTGTTCACTAAAAGGTTTGAGTTTTGACGTGAAGAGGTGTGAAATGTAACTTCCCCGTACCTGGAGGGTGATGTCTCAAAGACTTCGGTTTTTCTTATAATGCCCAATAGACAAACGGACAAGCTTACGAGACAAGCTTGTGATGGTACAGTAGTTTTTGCGAAAAATAGCCACCGGATATTTCTTTATATTGCAGCTTAAGATAGTTCCTAACATATTCCGGTTCGAAAAGTTTCATTTTGTCAGGTATGTGCTGAAATTAAAAAAGCAGTAGTGGGGTTTCCAATAATGATAATAGAGCAAGGAATAAGTAGAAATACCTAGTACAATACAGAACCTTCTACGATAACCAAACGACAAAATTAGTCTTTCTGTCTGGTCTGCGAGATCATGCAAAAAAGCTACACAGCAGACCATGTGTCAGGATGTAGACGGTGAGTTCACCTAAGGCAGAGTGAAGTCCCAGACGTAGAGAAGAACGATGGAGACGTCGTCTGATTTTATCAAGACCAAGTGAATTTGTTGCTAGCTGGTTTGTGTATCAGGAAGATATCCAAGTAATTTAGAGACAGTGAGCAGATCACACAGTTATTAACTGTAAAAAAGGTTGGATAGAATAAACGCAACCGATATCCGTATTCTTCACATATAACGGTGGGACGTGGAGAGAAGAAAGATAACGAAAATGAGATAAGTTGACAATTCAAAAACAAACCGGCACTCAGCTAGGGCAAAGAGAACTTTTAGGCAATACGAACTGCAAGCTACACACCATCCAACAAGTAATCACGTGGTAGATTACCTGGATAATTTGTTGGTACTATGAGTGCGTGTGGAAAGCCCAATGGAGTCTTGGATTTATAAGCGAAGTCAGTCTAGGAAGGAAAGCCAAAAAGCATGTACAGCTTCTCCCCCTATTTGGAATCATCAGCTGTCAGCATCTCACTAAGCACCACAGCAGACTCGATTAGCTTTTTCAAATT